TGGGATTCGAACCCCCAACCCGAGGGATGTCAGAGGCCGCACCAATTAGTCTGGTCATTCGCACATCTTCTCGTATGTATGTATGTATGTATATATATATAATATTTTAGAAGAAGATTGGGACTGAAAAAGAAAATTTAATAAAAGGATGGTTGTGGCATAAAAGAAAAAAAGCCTCTAAGGTTTTGAAACAAATTTAGTCGTTATTCTGATTTAATTTTATTTGCGTTAATATATGAAATTTACATTATTTTGAAATACAAGAAATTATGTCATTTATAAACATAAATAAACTAAAAAAAACTAAAAAAAACTGAAAAAATAGATTTCAAAATTATAAAATATTAAGATATTTATATGTCATCAACAAAATAAATATTTAACGTGTCAATTTTTTAGAATCATCCCATTTAAATTTGAATATATTTTTTTCCCCACTCACTGCTCACGAAGTTATTGTCTCTCACTTCCATGTGCCGTTCAATTAATCAATTTTTCTATAGGATGCCTACCCTTGGTTGGCTCAATTCCTCTAGCGAAGGTGAAAATAAGCAGAAATTATCTACTGAATAATAATAATAATAATAATAATAATAATAATAATAATAATAATAATAATAATAATATCTTTGCTTCGTCGTGCCATGACGCGTGTACAATATTCAATCAAAATCTATGTTGAATCCAGATTTGACCATGCCCAAGATATAGAACGTGAAATCCGAGAGCAAGAGAAAGAAAGATAGAGAGGTTTGCCTCGTGCGTGGCGAAAATAGGTTTTCAAATTGATTTTCAATATTCTATTTGATTTATTTTCATGAAGCTGTATATTTTCTTTATATTAAAAAACAAGTGTATCGAAACAGATAAACTAATCAACCATAAGCAAATTTCAAACTACAATTGATCAGCTACTTGTTCAATATCAATTACTCATTTCATAACCTTTAACTCCCCTAAATAGGAAAAACTATTCCATACAGACAGCGCATGCAGAGATGCATGTGTTTTTTTTTTAAAATGGAGCCCACCGAAATACAATTTTGCTTTGATCGATGGTTGAGATCAGACATCGCATACATCTCTACATGTGCTGTCCATATAAAATAATTTTTCCCTAAATAGACCTTTAACTGAGAAAAAGAGTCATTTAATTTAATTGATAAAAATATTAAAAGCTAATATTACTTTTATTGATAAACTCTATAAAAGCAGTAATTGATGATCGGTTACATCATATGTGAATTATTATTAATATTGATGAGAAGGTAGAGTCCATTTTCTTTATTCCTGCTCTCTTTATTTTTATTTTTGGGTCCGTCTTTAAGCAAAGAATGCAGCTTTAGAACACGAAAGGGAGAGAAAGGGGGAGTAGATTTGGCAGAGTGATCGGCGATCCCGATAAAAGAGGTTCTGAATGTTTTGTTGGAGAATGTAAAAGACCTCCCTTTCATCACTTCATTTCTTCTTTTCCCTTCTTTTTGCTACCTTCCCTATTTCTCACTCTACAAATTTATTCTTCTTCTCTCTCTTTATAAACATCCTTCATCAGATCTTCCACAAATTGAACGGTTCTGATCGGAGCACGCGTTATCTGATAGAGCTCTTGGTAGGTTTGACTCATATACCGGATAAGCGACAAATGTTGGAGCGGAATGGAGCGAGCCAGCGGAGCGTAGTGGAGCGAAAACATCTATCCAATCGGGGAGTTTCGTTAAGTGTGTTGGGGTGTCGAGGCAACGCTCCTCGTGATACGGTAGAAGAGTAACTTTGTAATTACATATTGTACACTAGGGTTATATATATATGTTGTGTTTGTAATCCTAAGGGGAAGTACTGGTTTTTTGTGAGATCAGAAAGCCGCCGCTCTTGCTCCCGAGAACGTAGGCAAATTGCCGAACCTACTGAACCTCATTAAATTCTTGTGTTCATTCTTGTGTTCGTTGATTCTTGCATTTATTTGCCCTAATTTCTCAACAGCTCTACTCGAATAAATAAAGATACATGGAAGATGACTTAGTAATAACAGACAGTTGGCTCGAGACTGGTCTTTTGGCAACGGATGTAGAGGTTGGCCGAACAGAGGTTGATTGACGCAGAGTCAACTCAAGTAGATGCGAATTGACAAGAAAATGATCCGCCTAATATTCATCAATTGCACGACATGAGTTGTCATTTTAGTTTAATTTTTGCCCCTACAAATAGATGGGCATTGAATATTATACTTGTATTAATCTAAATTTAATGAGGTGTGCTTTTGATGGAGCGGGGAAGAGGGAGAGAGAGAGAGAGAGGAGCATGGATGCACGTTAAAGAATGGATCGATGAAAGGAGTGAGAAAAGAGTGGCACGCGTGACACGGCACGTGCATTCCATGCCGCAGCGAATCATATCCCTTCCGAGTTCACATCGGATCGATCATGAGTTTCTCTCTCCCTCTCTATAACTTTTACTGCAGGTGTAGCTTATATATTATTAATGAACTTTCTCTCTCTACCTCTCTCTCCTTTGTTCAAAGTAGCTGATCGAAGCAATTAAGGCAGGGGCGGGGGGAATCCCGTGAGATGCTTTATGACTCTCTTTCTTGTTGATCCCATCATCCCACTCCTCTTTTTGTTTCTTCTACAGCTGCCTCTCTCTCTCTCTCTCTCTCTCTATCTCATCCTCTTCTTCCCTCTCATGATTGTGCTTTTGTTTAATATTTATGATTTTAAAATTGCTAAAAAAGGAAGCACATGTAATTCCGGTAGCTTCAAAGCCTCCACGATTATATTGAGATTCTTATTGCAAAATAATGATCACTAACTCAAGTTAAAATGGAATTAAATGTTTCATTTATTTGCATGTTGGAGCATATTCTCATGTCCAATTCAGATCATTGCTCTCAATCCAATTTTCGGAGAAATATTTCGTCCGAACGTCCGCATGTCCGGATTGCCAATCACCGGCTGCCTTGCAGCCCGCCGATGAGGCGTATGACAATATGGCGGGTGGTGCTGGTGGTTGGCCGTACGGATTTGCGATATCTGGATGAAATATTTTTTCCAAATTTTAATCATCTTAAGGGCATAATGGGCTAACAATAGTTTTTGGTGATAGCATGTCTCGATCTTGCTCCCTTCACTGCACTAATGGACAATAATCCAATCTTAATCATCTCATGCACAAAATGATCCAACAAAATACGCCAAGGCTTCATAAGTTTGCTCGAGATGGAATCATATCTGGGCTACTCTGGAGCATGAGATCATTGAGGCTTGTACTACATCATTGAAGGATGTCGATATGCTAGTGGCGACTACTAGCGTTGTTGGTACTGCGATGCAGGAGGACGAACTTGGTATGGGTGAGACTCAATTTTGCTCCTTTAAATGCACTAATAATGGACAAAGCCTCTACAATAGAGCTCATTAGACAAAGCCAAGAATTCTCTTCCAAATGAATTGATAAGAATTAATTTCAAATAAAAAAGATTTTATAAATGGGAATACTCTAATATTAAACAGAAAAGTCATCATCTTTAATGAAATATGTGTAGATTTCTTAAATAAAATAAAAATTTTGAGCAGAATTACTCTTAATTGCTTACATATAATATGTCTGTAAGCTTTCAAACCGGAGTAAAATGAGCTGCATACATCAATTTACTATAATTTCATATAAATTCTAAACATTTTTTTAATTAATAAAAATAAAAATAAAATCAGAAGGGGCCTACACGAGTATATATATAATTATGTAAGTCCAAAACTAAAGAGAGAATTTTTGATGGATCCTTACTCATCATTAGGGGTGTAAAAGAACCGAACACGAACGAACAGAGATTGTGTTCGTATTCGGTTCGTTTGAAATTTAATTTGTTTGAAATAAGCTCGTATTTGAAATTGTTCGTGAAGTCACTGTTCGTGTTTGTTTCTTAACGAATGAGTCGAGCATGAGTTGTTCGCGAACGACGAACCAGTTTGACATCCCTAATATTAATATTTATAAATAATGTATTATTATTATTATTATTATTAATTTAATATATATATTATAATTTATAAAATTTAATTTTTTAAAATATCATAAGTTTTTTATATAAAATTATTTTATATTTCAAACAATAATGATTCAAATATGAACGAATGCATCACTATCCGTGTTTGATTCGTTTAACTAACAAAAAAAAAAAATTATTCACGTTTATCTTATTTACTTATAGAACAAATTGAACATAAACTGTTCGCGAACAACGAGCTTTTTTGACAGCCCTACTCAACATTGCTTCGCCAACCGAAAATCCATTAATTTGTTCCCTCCTCTTGCCACAAAATTTAATGCCATGGCCTTCTCAGCGCTGATATCTAATTAAAGGAATCTAATCATTCTTTTTGTTAGTTTATCAGGATGGCCTAATTATTTCATTGGGGCAATAATATATCAAATTATTAATGTCATTTAAACTTATAACAATGGGGCAATCATATATCAAATCATTAATCCTGCTCAAATTTATAAAAATGGAGACTAATACATATAATTAATTGTATTTTTTAAATTATTTAAAAGCCAAGATCTTCTCTAAAGATTTGTCGTCTGCTTCACGTTTCAGATCATCACCACATTTTTATTTGAAAAACTTCGTATTTTTTAGAAGTTCATGCTGGTAAATATATTTTAACCTTTCCTATAAAATATGGTAGCAACTTTAAAATCATATTTTAAATAAGCTGCAAACCCTAAAATTGAAAGAATAAAATAATGATTTTTTTAATTAAAAAGATTATTTTATTAAAAATAATGCTTCTACTTTTAATACATACAAAATCAATATATTTTGTAATGTGACAATAGTAATGGACAAAATTTGTTATTTACATTTACAACATTACGGTGCGAAAAACCTAAGCATAAAAAGATGTATTCGGCTTCTAAAAAGTTAGTGAAACGGATAATTTTGATGTGATGACGAAGGTTTAGGTGTAAGATACGTAAATATATAAAAATTATGTCGTATATATGCAAATGCCCCCTATACAATGCTCTTATTAACCTGGCTTGGCCTGAATTGGTCCTTGCCTCATCTACGAATCTTACAAAATGCTGCAAACGTACATATTATAATTCTTATACTTGCAGCCAGATTACAATCAATTGCTGATTCTAAAGTTGGCAGTGAGAAAGGATTTCACTAACATGCATAATGAAATACATTCCAACTAATTACAAATTTCACCCTATGTAAATAAATAATAAATAAATAATACAGAAAATCTTACAGCAAAGTTTAGAAATCAGAATGGTATATGCAAACCAAGCTGGAATGAGTGATGGGAGTGCGGCAGAGAGGGCATTCAGGCTTCTCGTTGCACCATTCCATGATGCAATTCCTGAAAAAAAATGACATTTTTTGTTTTCTTACAAGTGAAAATGGATTAAAGAAGCAATCTGAAGAGCATAGTGAGATTTATGTAGCCGGCTCAGATTATCAATTGGTACATGATTTGGTTTAAAATTGCAAAAATAGCCTATGTTGATGCATAATGTAGTAAGAAAAGGCGAAGCTAACTACCAAATGTCTGAAGTTACCAGGTTTTCATTTTGCTACCATGTTTCTATTTGGCTATAATTTACTTTAATTAAAGAAAAAATTTCATAATCATGTTTTTTAGAGTGTGATGGCAATAATAAATTTATTTTTTTAAATTTTTTTCCTAAATTAGGAAGATTTACACACATACCGCTTAATTCTTATGTGTCCACATATTTTAGCACCTAAACTTCAATTTTTACATATACATGTCATCTTATTTGTGCTCGAAAAGGTGTATTTTACCTTCTAAAAGTTAAAATAGTTGTATTTTTTATGTGATATGAAATATTTGGATGACATAAATGTAAAAAAAAAAGAGTTTGTGTTGAATATGTAAATTAATAGGAATTGGATGGTCGGTATGTAAATGCCCAAAAATTTTATGTACCATTGTAAATTGGACAGTGTTCAAGTCAAGCAATTAAATTCCTGATAATGCTCGAGTTGATAGAAGAGTACGATCAGAGGTGTCTATTTTTAAAATTAAATTTCGAAGTCCACTAATATAAATGAACCCAATCGTCTATAAGCCCGATTGTCTATAAGCAGGATAGAGTTGACAAGGTTCATATACAATTATGTGTAAAATACTAAACCCAATCCGTTACAAGCAACAAGAAAAGTCTAAGGGATCAAATTAAGTAGTTGAAACCCTGATGATGGCTGTGTTAACTGAACATCTCAACCGAAGGGATTAATTTCAAATCAACCTCTAACATTTTTTAAATACTCTCTATTTCCGCGATACTTCGACAACAAATTTAACATATAGCTGTAGTCGTTCCAAACGAATCGTTAATTATGCTCGAGAAACACTATAAAATTCCTGATTCATGTAACAATCGCACTTCAAATCTATCACTCTGAAAACATACAATCATAAAATATTCAGCTATTGGTTTAAGCTATGCATGCTTTGAAAGATGAACATCATGAAAAAGATACAAAAAAAACTCAAATATGAAAACTAAAAGAAATAAAGATGATTCTAGTTAGGGGCACTTACATACCACCCAATTCTTACATATTTATACTAACACCTAAACTTTTAGTTTTAACATTTATACCACCCAAATTTGTGGCATCACATAAAAAATATCACTATTTTAACATTAAAATAGTGAAATAAACATTTTCATGTATAGATAAGGTGACATATATGTAAAAATTAATGTTTAGGTGTTGGATAGGTAAATACAGTTGAGTTCAGTGGTATGTATGTAAATCTTCCTTCGAGTTTTTATGGGAAGAGAGAGAAAATACCAGCAAAATACATGACCACAAGTTGTGGCTGTGGGATGTTGGCGAGTACTTAAGCAGAGAGTGCATTTGCCGATGCTCACTGGTGCTTGAGACTGTAACAATAAATTGAAAACTTCAATGAAACATACATCAACAATAACAACAACAACGAAGCCTTAATCCCACTAGTTGCGTCCTATTTAGTGTCATATTTTCATTTAGTTCTGATAAATTAAGATCAATTTTTATACAATAAGCCCAATAAAGCATACATCATACAGAATAAATTTCAAATATATGAAACATTTGGGATACTTTGAAGTTGAGGGTTTGAGCTCTCTTCAATCTATTATACAAATGCAAACATAGAAATGGATAATCGAAAAGTCAAAATTGGGTATTACAATAGAGAGACAACAACAACAACAAAGCCTTAATCCCACTATGTGGGGTAGGCTACTTGAATCCTTTTTCTCCATTGTGTCCTCTTTAGTGTCATATTTTCAGTTAGTTCTGATAAACTAAGATCATTTTTTATACAATAAGTCCAACCTCTGTCTTTCTTAACACAAGTTAAATCTAAAACATCTACTCTCCTAATCGAACCATTAGATGGTTAAATAAATTTTAGGTTTAGGGTTTGGATTTGTTAATGTTACTAGTAATGATGCGATGCACATAAATCACAACAGAAATTTTCAGAAATCAAAGATAAAAAAATCACTAAATAAGCGAACAACAAATTGTTTTCTTTATATGTCAATGGTAAATATCAGAATTGGTAGTCAAGTAATAATGTGATGATTGAATGGATCCAAACAAAATCGATGAGGTTAAAATACATAAAATCATGGAGCAATAAACACCACAAATAGATTTTCAATTATGCCAAACATGAACAAAATCAAATGTACTAACAAGACAATAACAAATTATATAAATGAAATAAGATTAAGGAATGAAAGTAGGGGTGTAAATGAGTTGAGTTTGAGTGAGTCTAGTATTTATTATATTCGGTGCGTTCGAAAATTTTGTTATTCAAAATTGGTTGGTTTTCAAAATAGATGGTGAATAGCATGTTTGTATTTAGCTCGGTTCAAATTCATTTTAGTTGTGACTTGAATTCACTCAAAATATAGCCCAAATGATTTAAAAAATAATATTTTTTACCATTTTTTTTAAATACAACAAATAAAATCAATATAAAATAATTATAATAAAAAATATTCATTTAATTATTTAATTAATTTTAGCTAAAAATAGCTAAAAGCACAATTGCTCAAATGTCCGTCTGTGTTTGACTCATTTATAAATCAGGTTCAAAATAAGTTTTCTTGTTCGGCTGAGTTTCTTGACAAACAAATCCAACACGAGCTACTTAGAGAGTCAAAATCGTGTTATTTACAAATGATCAGTTTTTCTAACAGCCAAACCTATAAAAACCAAACCACAAGTTGTTACAAGAAGATGACCTTCCTCAAAATTATATAATTACATTTGTATCACACTTAAATGAAACCACACATCCAATTTGCACACACATACTTTTAAAATTGAAAGAAATAATTTCTTCAATCGAAGTTACTCAATTGCTTGCCTTAGAACATACATTTATAGACTTATCATCACTAAACTAATCGATATAATTGGCATAAGATCATCTCAATCTTAGTTTAAAATTAATCCAAAAACATAAAAACCAATTTACATGTTATCTCAAATTAAAAGGACTTACTCTTAGGTTCAACCTTCCTCAGTCTTAAAAGCACTCTTATTAAACCTCTCAAAATTATTTGAACATGTACAAGATAGCTCCATAAGAAGAGAGTGAGAGGAAGGATAGAAGTTGCTATAGATTACAACACAAATTAAGAAAATTTACATACATACCGCACAATTCTTAAGCATTGACATATCAAACACCCAAACTTTTATGTATACATTCATAACACTTTGGTATTGGAGGGTGTATTAGACTTTTGAAAAGTGGTATTAGTGTTTTTTATGATGTGATATTGAAGATTTGACTGCTATGTATGTAAATATGGAAGCATGGGTGTGAAAAATGTAAATACATAAGAATTGTGTACTGTGTAAATAAATGCCCCTAAAGAGTAATTAGAAAGTAATTCAGCGTTTCATATGTTCTCCAGTTCAAAGATGTCTAGTTATTAGAACATCAAATAGAATAACAGATTTCAGTTTTGATCAACTAGGAAGAAATGAAAAAAAAAGCCACCAAATATTATTGCGAAGAGGAAAAAAAAGTTGGGGGTGGGGGCGGGATTTACATACACTACACAACAATTCTTATGTATTTATCTATTTAACACCTAAAGTTTGATATTTACATTTATTTGGGGTTATAAGTCTATGCATGAAAAGGTATATTTCACTTTAAAGTTAGTAATAGTGGTCTTTTTTTATGTGATCATAAGGATTCGAGTGGTCTGCATGTAAATATGAAAAGTTATGGCATGCATTACCTCTGAAGTAGTTAAAGAATCAGTGCCCAGGCTACCCATCTTAATAGTAGCATCAGAGATTAGGTTTCCATCTTCATTCAAAACTGGCAATCCTCGTCCTGCAGGTAACAATATGCACAAAGAAACATCAAGGCTTCAATTTACAGCGCTTCTCCATTTATAGAAGCTCTTTTAAAAATAATTTTAAAATAAATAGCGATATAACATTACAGTTACTTACATTATAACCCGTTTGAATTAAATTTTTTGATAAATTATTAAACGCAACTTTTCAAAGGCAAAATACTAAAATATCCTTTAAAGAACGGACGACAGGCGCAAACTCTATCACACGGTCTCCTTCCTCTTCCACCGACATAGACTGTGCTGCCAAGGAGGATTTTATCAGCAGCGATGTAATGGAGGTGGAGGGCGCCGGAAGCTTATTTTTGGACGGGATAGTTCTCCGCCGACAATGAGTTCTGTTGGGAGGGCGAGGCAGCGGGGTCATTCAAGAGGCTGCCAGTGATAATTGTTGGAATTTGCAATGGCCGGCGTCATGATCCATGTCCTCAACTTTGTCGACCAAGAGATGAACACCAGAAAGAGAAGCACGACAAGGAACATTTGATCTGCCACTATGACGGCTTTGGGTTTTTTCAACCTTTCACATTTTGAATGATCCAAATGAAATCCAAAACTCCGAAACAGAAGGCCCTCATGATCTGAAAACGGCGAATATCGCTGTTCCGGTAGAAGCACTTATCTCGAAGTTCGTCCGCCAAATGAACGACGGGCGTTCTCTCGGTGTTCTCGGCGACGGAATGGAGGCAAGGCACACTCTCAATCGAAGCCTAAATTTCTCAAGAATACACTGGAAGGTGGTGAAGAGTCCAGTAGCTCTAGAATCACAACATGAATCAAAAAATTGATATTGCTTCAAATAGGCGACTAAATATAAAATACTAAACTGTAAGGAACTCTCACATGTCACGATGATATTCTTACCTTTTGATGATATTCTTAAGTATGTTTTCTTTGTAAACAGTAAACACGAGGAAGATAATTTGGAACATATTTTTATTTCTTGCAACTATGCTAAGGAGGTTTGGAATAATGTTTTCACTTTTTGTGATATGTCGATGAATGATGTCACTAATTTTTCCATCAATGGTTTCTTTAACTTTTGGAGATATGTTTGTGAGAATATTCTTTTACCTCTATTCCTATAATTGTTTGTTGGTACCTTTGGTTTGCTAGGAATAAATCTAAACATAATGACAATTTGATTACTACTCATTCATGCTTTATCTTCATTACTAATATTATTTATAATATGCTTAGTTTTGGTAATTTAAAAAAACCTTTGGGTTTTAAATTAAGAAACATCTTTGCTAGAAGTGATATAGATATTCTTTCTTATTGTAAGCCTGTTACTAATTTAATTCGCTGGAATGAACCATTGCGTGACTTTCTTAAAAATTAATATTGATAGAATTTAGGATAATTTTTTTGTTGGAATTGGTGGAGTGTGTCGTAATTTTGAAGAAAAATGTATTTTCTGGTTATCTACTCGTACTATCGTTGTATCTCCTGTTTGTCCTGAAGCTGAGCAGTTATAGTTGCATTAACTTTAGCTGTTATTTGTGGTTGGCATTTGATTGGTATTAAGATGGATTCTTTAGAACTTTGAAACAATTGTACTAAAAAGAAAACGTATCCTTGGAGCCTTATTATTCAAATAAAAAAAAAAAAAATTGCTCTCCGTAAGGTTGTGCAATAAACTGGTTATTGATTAATTAGTTATTTATATATCGAGAAGGAAACCAATGTGCAAATTGGGCTGCTAAGTGTGGGTTGGAGAAATAAGACTTCATATTTTCGGTTCGAGTACCTCATGAGCTTTCTATTTATATTCATGGTGATTGTTTAGAAACTCCTTATATTCGATGTGATAGTATTTTTTAGATTTTTTTGTGTGAGTTGTACTTAGTGACTAACGGTTTCTTAGGTTTTTATTTCTTTGCGTGAGTTGAGTGGTTAGTATGTACTGAAACTGTCAGTCACAAAGCCTGTAACACTTTTTTATTGAAATAAAATTTCCTACGGGATTCTTTAAAAAAAAAAACTCTCACAAGTCACGAGCCTTAGTTATGAGATTCCTATAGCCAGAGCAAAAATTTCAATATACTATGAGCTTTTCCCATAAATAAATGGCTTCGATTACTAAATGAAAACTGCAACAAGGTAGGTAAGAGGAGCAAATTCCAAGAAAAAAAAGAAAATAGGCATAAATAAATAAGTTATCAAATAGAGATGAAAACCAACAAATGCATACTGCCTGTATAATAATGCTTGGCCAACACACATTATCAGGATAAATCAGGGAATGATTAACAAATCAACTTGGGGAGGCCTAATTTCCTATTCATCAAATATAAACCTAGTGGCAGGGACTAGCTAATAGAGATAACTATGTGTAAACATTAGAAATATAAATTGCAAAATCGTTGGGTTAAACCTCTTTCCCGTATCATGTTTTGTAATTTTGCGGTGTTAGTATTGACTACAATTGGGGTTGTAGACTAACCATTACAGTTAGCAAGATAACCGTGTATCCGGTTAAAATTCGGTCATGATCAAATTATTTACTAATTCAATAATCCTTAGGGCTCTATTTGAGCCAAGCCAAGCTAAAGCATACCATAGATCAAACTTGGCAAGATCATATTGCAAGTTGTTTTAAGTTAGGCACAGACTTGAGCCAAGCTTTCACAAATGTTTTCACACTTGGGTTAATAGCTCATAAATGAATAATAAAAAAAGAGTTCTAATGTGATTTTCATGGAAAAAATAATCTTATAGATTAATGAGCAAATAATTCAATAAATTTTGAATTAGCATCCAACTATTTATACCAATTAAACAAGCCTCACGAGCTAATTAAAAAAGACAATAATATGACTAAAAAAACTGAGAATTAAAAATGCAAAATAGAAGGCATATTAAAGTCTCAATGAGGAGATAAACATAATTAGTAGGACTAAAAAGAAGCCAAAGGGATGCGAACCGTGATGGGTCAATGGTATATTAGAGAAGCTGTGCGAAGAAAAAGAGATGTTTACCTTCAATTCTCATACAGGTTTGCTCTGATTTTTATATAGGCATGTTGGAAATGATGAGACAAGACTAAACTGAACGCTCATAAATTGTGCTCTCATAAGCAATAACTTCATTTGAGTTGAGAAGGAAAAGATGTGTTCACCTCTAAAGGCTCAGATTCTCAGTGTCATCCTAACAACGTGATCATTTAGGCAGCCGTAGCAACCTCGGCAGATCAGAGCGTGTAGATTGAAAAGGACAATAGTGTAGATAGATATGAAAAAAATGAAAATAAGAAACGCAACAAGTAAACTAGCTTATCAAAAAAATATATAATATATTAATATTAAATAAAAATTAAATAGGAGATTAAAAAAAATAATTGAACAGTAGACCAGCCATCATCAAACCTGACTTAGTTCCTTGTTGAGGAGCAAATATATATATATATTTGCCGACTGTAAATGAATAAATTAGACTATAATTAAGATGGTTTCATTTAATTATTGATTTTATAAAAAAATATTCGAACTTATTCAATTACAAAATTAAACAAACTAGCAAGATCAATTAACTTGAGTTTGAGCTGTTCTCAAGTGCATTTGCAATGCTCATAAGCTTGAACATATTTATAAATACTTACTAGTAAATAAACAAGCTTCAGCAATTTCGTGATCAATTTATTTAATGATTATGAATGGTAACATATAAAACTCAATAAGAAGCTTGCTTAAGTATTTATAACAAGCCTATTTAAGGCTCAATAACATGCTTGATTATGACCCAATGACAAATTAATTCAACACTTCAGATATTTGATTAGTGATTTATTTTAATTATTTATCAAAAGCTAAATAAATAATAATTAAATAAAACTCCAATATTTTCAATGTTAATTAAAAAAAAGCCTAAAATTTAAATTTGACTTGAGAGAATTGATGCCTGGTGTGCTAGATCTTTAATTTGAAACTTAAAGGTAAGAAATCACCTGAAAAATACTAAAATCTAAAATCAAAGATGCGCAACTTCCAAACATTCTCATAACACTCATCACTCTCAGCGCACACCAAGCTCTCATAACTCATAAGCTCTTGAAGCTATCACAACTCAATCTCTCGTTGATCCCGTCATTCTTAATGCTTATGTTGCTCTCAGCCTCTCGCCACCCTTGAATGTCTCAATGTCCAAAGTCGAAAGCTCTTATTACTATTATGATTTTTAAGTATATTTAATCTCAACAAGTTTGGTAATAATTTTAGGTTTCACCATAATAGTGGATAATATAAATTAAATTCCCTCCCACCCTTCTCAAGGTTTTTGCTTTCCTAATCCTGATAAAGAACTTCCTTTTTTTTTAGGGTTCATTTGTTCAGACATTTTCATGTTACGATTTTTTTCTTGCGGCTAGAACAATGCTGGTCCACCCAGAAACGGCCAGAAACCACACAACCTACCCACCGGCGGGCTGGTCTAAGCCGAGTGAAAAAGAGGAGCAACCAGGGCAAGCTGCAGAGGAAGTGGAGCGGGAGAGGGTGGGCCCCACTAAAGCCATAATCATGTATTCAAGGAGGAGAGATTAGAGGAGTTGGGAATGAAAGTTTTTGAAATGCTGGAGGGGATTCTATTAAGAAGGATAACCTAGGGTTTGCTTTTTTTAAGCATGTTTTTGTTTGACAACTGTTTTCTTTCTTCTTGTGGTGTTCCTAACGGCGCCTAAAGTGAGTGAGAGATGATCTCTCTTTCAAAAGTAGATCATCCTTGTATCTTACTTGTTTTACTTTTATTTTTGTAAGAGCAGCTCTTGTTTGTATTTCTTCCACTTATCAATTGTTGTTTCGTTGTGGTTTGTTCGCTGATTTTGGTTCCGAAGCGTATCTAATTGGTATCAGAGCATAAATCTTGGTTGGATGGCAGCAAATAAAATGAATGTGCTAGGAGAGGTAGGGCAAATCAGATCGGGAATAGAAAAGAGGTTCGCCACCATGGAGGTCAGGTTTTCTTCCATTGAAATTCAGAT